CAAAATAGAGTTTACTATTGATAAGTTATTTTGAAATTCATGCACTCTTGATTGATAACGTAAATTAGCTATCGCTACTTTTCTATCTTTGCGTTAAAGTCTCCGAGTAATCACTTGTAATCACGCGCCGCATAGTGAAACGAGCTTCCGGGAAAGGTCGGACAAGAAATTTTAGACTAAAGCTGCAAATTTATATCTCCGTTCTGCCATTTAAAATTCTAAGGGTTGCTTCTAGAAGATCACTGTTTAAACTTCTACGATTCGTTGTAACGGAGATATAAGTTTGTGAAGTTTCTACATATCATTTCAAATATCTAGTATTGATTCAATCCACTGCCACTGAGCGCCTCTTGACTTCGAAGTATAATCTACAGACGTCGTGCATTTGAATAGACAAAACCCAGTGTTATCTGCTTTCCTGGATAAATATCGATTTAGATATCTAGGCTATAGACCTCTATTGATCTCGATTGAGAGTCCTTAGAAAAATCGGTGGCAAGTCATTTTTCCTAAAACATTTTTTCCTACTGCAGTTTTTCCTGATACTTTTTTCCTACTCGTTTTTTGTCCCATCACAGTTAGTCCTACGAGTGAGATGTCCTACTGGCTTTTTTCCTGAGGGCATTTGTCCTAAATTCAATTTTAAAACTAGGGGATCGAGAGAGTACAAAAACAACATAGGTACCTCACAAGTTAAAGTTGTGGCGAGCTTCATCCTCCTCCTTAAATTGAGGGTATAGAAGGCTCAGCTTGTGATGTCTCCTGTTCACGCGCTTATATTCGGCTCACTGAGAAAACTTTACTCTGTCTGAAAAATTTCACTCTACTCTACTCATGTTTACGTTTCAATTATTATTGGATTATTAGGACAAACACCCTTAGGAAAAAAGCCAGCAGGACATCTCAATCGTAGGACTAAGTGTAATGGGAGAAAAAACGAGTAGGAAAAAAGTATTAGGAAAACCTGATGTAGGAAAAAACATTTAGGAAAAATGACCTAGCACCGAAAAATCGGAAGAGAAAAATTTTCAAATTTTTCTAAAAATTCGTAATCTTTGATGGCTCTTGCGGCTTTCTTACACTTACTAAGCACGGCAGTTTAGATATTTTAACCTAGCTTACATGCACGTGCATCCTCTCGCATGTGTCTTCTTAAGGTCCAGTTACACGTTCAAATTGAGCCATCAAATTGGGCCTCTCATTGGTCGCATTCTGAATGCGACCAATGAGAAGCCCAATTTGATGGCTCAATTTGATCGTGTAACTGGACCTCTAGAAAAGAGACCATGATCGTAAGTCCTGGAAGTTCGAGCTGTGCTTTTCCAGTCAAGTGCCACGAAGGTTGTCATTGCCACCTGCCAAATCCTAGGCTATAGAGCGTGCGGTGCCTGGACAAATGGAACACCCCATTGTGCTATGCCAATGGGATGAAATCACCCGGACGGGGAAAGACTACAGTCGGGATTTTGCAGATCCTCCGATGCGGCCGACGCCGAAGAAAAGGAGCGACGCGATAGGCGAGACGCGATGGCCGCGACGGAAGGAAGGACAGGAATGCAAATCCAGCGAGAGCTGCGCAGATCCCAGATACCTGCTTTTCCTCTGCACAACTTGTTTCGGGCGAGAAAACAAAAACAAAGGGTCCTCTGCGTCCGGCCGACCGGTGCCAGCCTGGAATACTGCCCGGCTCTCCAGCTAATAAGCAAGAACGCCGTATGAAGATTCCAATGTTGCCAAATTTTCTCCAACACAAGGTTTTTTCGTAAAAAAATTATGCAAGTTTGAGGAGTTATTAGGTGCAAAAACGAGTCGAACATCAAAATCGCGTTCCACATAACAGCGCATGAATACTTCATTATAGTGCCAGTTTGTTGCATTATCCGGTATAGCATTGGCTGAGGTAAAAAAAGTTATTCATATCCTCAAGTTTAAGTTGGCATGATTGATATGCAGATAGTCACTGTGGGGAATGAGAAATAACAGGAATTGAAAAGGCCTACTCGGGTCATTTTTGCATAGAACGACTGATTTGAGAAATACATGTTGTGTTTTAATGTCTCACACTTGAGCCGTTTTAGCATAAAATCACTTTTAACCTATGTGATATGCGAACAGGAGTTTTGGGGGAAAATTTTATTAATTTAATTTTATTTTTAAAAGGGCAAAAATGTATTAAAAACCTTAAAATTTGTCCATAGTAATTACAATATGTTTAATCCGAAAAGTATTATTTTCTGAAAAAATGCACCTAATTCCTCATTTTTTTAAAACAGTTTTTCGAGGAGGGAGGACTTGTTATTTAACCAAAATAAACTGACCAGATATAACTTCGAAACAGGGCCAGGATTCAAAGGCCAGTAATGCTGTTGAATTTATCCTTCGGAGAATTTTTTTCACATTTCAAATGATTTACCCATTTTAGAGATAAAAAAGGCCTGTATGACCACTTGCCCCATTCTCGCTTAATAGATTCAATTACGGACACAATACTCTGCAAAATTTGAGGAGACAATTTGTAATATTTCCAAGGAACGCGTTACTTATCGAAAGAAATCGGGCAACATCTGATGTCCATACGACATTTCATCTCATCATGATAGAGTAAGCCGCACGGACACCAAAATCAAGCAAAGGCGATGGCCTTAAGACACAGGAGTGGAGGCAGAAAGGCTGGCTGCAGTATTAAAAGGCAGGCGGCAAACGGGCTTCCAGGAAAAATATTATAAACCGCGTTTTCACTTTACCGTTCCGTCCGGTAAACAAACAACCTTTTAAAACGCGACGACTCTTAATGGCTCTTTTAAACGTTTATTGCACTGCGACCGTTACAAGGCCATGTTGTCAAGTCAGGGTAGATCCTTCCTAGGATATGGTTAATATATCGTTAAAAAATGGATAGAAGAACCGTTAAAGAAGGTGAGTTCTCGTTCAATCGAAGCTAAGCTCAAACTGGTCGAAATCATAAGTGCTATATATTTTAGTATGCAATACCGATATATCCACTCTACATATCTACCGAAAAAAAGCCCCCACACTAAATGGACCACATTTTGCAATTAAGAACTATAAATTCCGGTCAGGCTTAAAAACAACGTATGTGCAATTAGATCCCCTGTGCATATAAGTGTTTTTTCAGATGAGCCAGAATTTATAGCTCCAAATTGCAGAATGCAGTCCAAATATGAACGAACATTCAAACATAGAAATTGTTTTGCCAAATTACGGGGTTTTCTTTGATTTTTTCGCAAAAAACTCATACGTCACGCCTATGGGCACATTTCATCTGATTCCGCTCATCTGAATACGCTCCAAGCCTTTGGATCAAAATTTTGATAAGAAACCAAGTTATAAGGAAGTGCATCTTTTTTAGTTGGCTTCAACTCGGAAACGAGCTGTTCTGAGGCACTGCCTACTCATCTGCCGTGCTAAGATAGAACACCGAGTAAACATTCTAGAGTTGCCAAATTTCACCGGAAAAAACATGTAATTTTGGGGAAAGTCTTGTTTATTTTTCCTCGAGATTTGCATATATTTTAGATTAAATATTGAACAAAATTGTCTGAAAAATTTGAAGAAAAATATTCACAAGTTTCCTGATGAATTCGTTTTTATTGAGGGAGATATGGCATTGCCTGGAGGCTCATACGGCGTTTTTCCTTAGCACGGCAGTCTTATTGGTGCACCCTTGGCACTGGCCGCTGGCGAACTGACCATCGAAGCGACACCGGGATAAAATATAATTTTACCGCCGATGTTTTATTTCCTCGGCCCAAAGTTGGCCTTGGGATTATTCAAATTCGCCGCGGCGCAAGGCTCGTGTTCGGTGAGAATTTTTTTTCGTCCGGCTCCGCACAGTGAATTGATCAATGAGAGAGATCGGACAAAATTTGGAAACTTCTAAAGCTTATCTTACTGTTTATACAAAACTTTGAGTTTTTAAAAGTGGTTCCATTTGATTCCTCGTGAAATTTTATTTTTGAAGCACCCATTAAAAATTAAAAATGTGACGAATTAAGCATCAAAATTTGCAGTTTTAATGAAAAATGTTATGCACTGAAAAAAAAATCTCAGTGTATTTACTAAGAAAAGAGTTAAATTACCAAGAATTCAAGGTTCTATTTGATCTCAGTTTATTCTTGGTAAAATTACCATTTATGGAATTGGTAATTTTACCGAGAAATCTCGGTAAAATTATTGACTTTCTCGGTAATTTTACTGGACCCCGGTAAAAAAGCCAATATTTTTTATCGACTGTGGTAGAATTACCGAGATAAAATGGTAAAGTTACCGGGAATTGATTACCAATAAAAGTGGTATTCCTACCTGAAAAACAGTAAAAATACCGGTTTTTAGGTAAGCTTACCAGTTTGTCTTGGTAAAATTACCAATAATTGGTAAAAAAAAGTGAGATGGTAAAGGTGCCAACGGACCTTGGTAAAAACGCCGAGAATTTTTTCAGTGTGTCTAACCTGCCTGATTGACACGATCCACTGTGCTCCGGTGAGACCATGCGGCATGCATGCATATCCCATTGTGGAAAGGTCAAGGGAGAGCTTTGGTGAAGCGGGTGGCAGCTTTTTCGGCCCGGCGGACACTTTTGCGTCTCTGACCTTTTCGGCACTCGCCTCGCGACTCCCAGCCAGACGGAATAACGATAAGTATAATTTCTTAAACTTTGGGTGATATGAAGAATCGTCAGTCTTCAAAGGACCGCGTTCAGTAGATAGGAACCATGCCACATCAGCTACTCTGCCGTACAGTACAGTTTTTCCTCAGTGCAGGCCGTACTGAGGAAAAATGGCGTATGAACATTTGAGAGTGGCCGCATTTTCTCCAATAATGAAATGTTTCTCTCCAATAAGAACTATGAATATTTTCACTTGCAATTTGCAGATAATTTAGAGCTTATTGCAAGTAATGTTCTCTGAAAAATTGGAGGAAACATACACTCAGATGCTCCCCAAAAATTCGTAATTTATCAAAGGAAATTTGGCAACGGCTAAAGGTTCATACGGCGTCTTCCTTAGCATGGCAGTACTGCCAAATTCAACGGCGCAATTTCATCTATTACAAAAGAACGTTGCCGTGGATCCCTTTGGAAGTGTGAAGGAATTTGCTTCGCACTATGCAGAAAATTCACTGAAATTTGCAAAAAAAAAAAAAAATATATAAAAAAAAAAAAAAATCCGCACAACCGGTTTCATGTGAAAAGTTAAATTGCCCATTTATATTTGACAACAGCTGATGTGGCTTGGTTAATTTTTACTTAACTCGTTCTAATTTGAACTGTGGGGAGGGTAGAAGTTACCTACGTATTCCTGAACCCCGTGTTTTTTTATGCCTCGGAATCTTATGTTGGCAACGTCTCAAATCGTGATTTTGTCAAAATGTTGTCTTATTTTCGACGGATTTCGTCAAAATCATAGAATTTTATCCTCTATACTTCGTATTTTTTAAGGCGGCAAATAATTGTAAGCCCTTGCAAAGGTTCATTTCCAAAGTATCAATGTTGAATTTTACTCGAGATTCGTTGATGCCAAAGTTGAGGATCTTCTTAAATCTTCCTTGAACAAATCGCAGACCTACCTGCAGTCTAAGAAAGGAACATGAATACGACCCTAGGGTCCTTTTTCCAGTGGAATGTTTTACTTTATTAGAAAAGTTCATCATTCCAAGGCGTCACACGACATTCCCTGACGGTAACTTGATTAGCATAAAATCTTAGAAAATGTTATAGTTGCTGTGCTTTTCCGGCGTTAAAGTCTTTTTTTCAATCACCGGAAACAATTCAATCACCGGCGCATTGAAATTGCTAAAAGGCATATGAAGTGATCACATCTACGGAAGTGATCAGGATCGATTAAGGGAGCAAAGCACTTTTAAAGGAATCAAGGATGCCTCCAAAATAGCAATAGACCTAACTTCTCGTGACTAGCTCAAATCAAAGTTGAAGTAGGTGGACTGGTCACACACCAAAATAAATTAGTATGCCGCCTAGGCATCTGCAACGTCAAAAATTAGCACGACTGCCTCCACAATTAAGTGTGCGTACCCAGGATACAAATTTAACTTCAACACCAGTGTCTAGAAACAACCATTTTTGACATCCACTATGTTATCTTAGCATTTCGTTTTTCAGTGAAATCAAACCCTTCAGTTAGTGTCAGAAGGTGGAAAACATCGTAGAAATCGCCCAAACTTTTCCATGTACAGAGTCCGTCAGAGGCTGTCAGAGAAACGCCCCAAACATGGCGCGTTTGCGGTGGCCAGGCATTTTACCAAATTTTGTTTGATCCAAATTTTTCACTGTCCATTTATTAAGTTAGTCCAATAGTTTTTTTTGTGTGCAACGCGCTATGAACCAATAGTTTACTAGTCCAGTGACAAGCAATGGTATAGGTGCTGAAATTTTGCCAAATAATGGAACGTAACCCTTAGATTCCCAAGCCGGGCCACACTGACCCAAGGATCGCTGAAAAACGTATTATGTGGGTTCTTGGGCTGGTAAATTCGAACTGAGGTGTAGGTCTACAAATACACACTGGAAAAAAAAAACATATTGGATCTAGAGTCCAGACTCTTGAAAACATTGACAAGAAAAAATACTCTTGATTCAATCGGATTTTTGCTTGAATCAAAACGAAATTCGCTTAAATTAAGAGGCTTGGTTCTTGATTTAAGCAAAAATCCGATTGAATCAAGAGTATTTTTTCTTGTCAATGTTTTTAAGAGTCTGGACTCTAGATCCAATGTGTTTTTCTCCCGTGAGGAGTGGATTGACACGTTTAGGATTTGGATTAGGATTTTAAATTGGAGGCTTGGAGATTCTGATTGTCTCAAGAGTGATTTTTCTTGTCCATGTTTTTAAGAGTCTCGACTCTAGATTCAATGTGTTTTTTTCCAGTGCATCCTAAAAAAAAGAATAACACGTCAAACTGAAAAAAAGTACAAAATCAAATATCAACGCAACCAAAGATAGGAGAGACGTTTTTGGGTCTGATTTTTATAAGTTCTCTCCTGAATGAGAGCGAAAATTCATTGGCAGCATAGAGCGAAGCATACAAGCTCACGCCTCGTGCCAAAGCGCCTTCAATTCTGTAGATGCAATACGGACATCCACCAAGCATGAATAGTTGTATCCCTGCGCCGCCATCAACGCGCGACGTTTCCCTTGCTCTGTTCCCACGTAGTGTTGGTTCCGCCAGTCTTATTTAAATCGGTGCTTAAAGGACGACGTGAGCAACACAGCCTAAGTATGGCTTGGATCAAATTAGTTGACCAAACTAGGTATCGGGTGAAAAAAATTGGGTCAAGTGCGTAGCTACCGCCTGTGCTGCGGTTAGTTAGGGCCGGCGCCGAGATGCATCTATTCGTACTTAAGTGATGTCTGCGTTGCATATTCAAATTATTGAAGGCGCGCGTTTCTCAAGCGCGGTTTTTCAAGCGTTCACGGAAACACTCTTGGGCGTCCCATGTTTCAGTGGAGGATTAAAAATTGGGAAGACATCGTTGTCGAATGAGTAAAATGTGAGACAAAAAAGGGAAAGAGAAAAAAATGAGAAGGAGATGAAGGATAGGGGAAAACACGAGCAAGAGAAGATAAGGAAGACGGAAAGGGAGAGAGAGAAAGAAAGTAGAAAAAAGGAGATGAAGAAGAAGAGGAGATAGGAGAACGAATGACAGAAGGAGGAGGGGAGCAAATAGAAGCAAAAAGAGAAGGCGATTAAGAATAATAAGAAAAGAGAGAAAAAAGATAATAAGGATATGGAGGAAAAGAGAGAGAACTCTGAAATGGTAGAAATAGGAGGAGGGGAAGTAGGAGGTATAAAATAAAAAAGGAAAAAATAAGATGGAAGTGTAGGAAAAGAAGGAGACGGAGAAGATGAACAAGGAGAAAGAGAGCGAGATGGAGATGGAGAAGAAGAGGAAGCGGGGGCGGGAGAAAATGACGAAAGGGGATGAAGAAGAGGATTTAAGAATTGGAGAAGAATAATGGCATGGGAAAGACAATGTAAAAAACGAGTAGAAATCAAAGAAATAAAGGATAGGAAAATGAGAGGAACAGGAGACGGAGGAAATTGAGACAGGGGAGGACGACGAGAGGAAGGAAGAAAAAAGATGAGGAGAGGAGGAGAAGGGAGAATGAAGAGAAAAATAAACAAGAGGACAAGGAGAGGAAGAAAGAGGAGGAAAATAGGGAAGGATAAGGATAAAAGGATGAAAGGTAGGACAGAGGAAAATAAGGAAGAGATCAATACATCCGTGTTAAGGAAGAACGCTGTATGAGCCTTTAGACGTTACCAAGTTTCCTCCGACAAAAACCGAATTTACCGGGAAAATTGCAAATTTGCAATTATATTCTAAAATTTTCAGACAATTTTGAGCGTAATTAAATCGAAAATATCTGAAAATTTCAAGGAAAAATGTGCATGAATGTTATCAAAAATACATGATATAACAAGAGTAATTCGGCAACTCTCGAAAGTTCATACGGCGTTCTTCCTTGGCACGATGGAATACGCCAGTTTTATTCCCTGTTTCACCTATTAACCTCTATTAATTGGATTGCATTTTGCAAAAAGGAACCACTAGCATTGCAATGTTGCTAAGATTGTGCAACTTCTTTTGTCTTAGAGGAAAAACCTGATTATCCATTAATAGTTTCTATTTTACTCGCTAAATAACTGTGAATTTAAGACAAAAATTACCATCTAAATTTCATAGTTTTTCACGATTTCCGCAATTTTATTGCGAAGGATGAAGTTGCACAATCTTAGCATCATTGCAATGCTAGTGGTTCCTTTTTGCAAAATGCAATCCAATTACAAGCCGTTCTGTTCCATGCCGGGGAAATTTCCCCGCTGCAAACAGAGACAATCCCCAAATAAGCGTATAGTAGTTCATTCATTCATTGGGCACGGAGCTGCTTCATCCGTCGCCGTTAGCGCCGCCGCCGTTGTTAATAGACTCCGGAATCTTCCGCCGTGTCTGTGTCCGTTTCATTCAGAAATTCTGCCCGCCAAAACAGCGACTGTCGCGGAACGGTCGTCGCGGCCCGGCGGCGCGGTTCGATTCCCGCTAAAAGGACGCGGATCCTTGGCGAATCCTCAAAAGCGGTTTCCCCCCCGCACCGCACCGTCCTGTCCCTGTCTCCTCTACCTATTGGATCCATGGATGCCGAGTTGAACCTTCATCCCCATCCCTCCTCGCTGAAAGGGGTGAGATGGAAAATCTCATTAGGTATCACTACAATTTATGCTGATATAGTCACCTTCCGGCCAAAGTATCACAAACTCCATGCGACGTTTAAAAATTTCTGTCACCATTTTATTTTTTCACAGAGAAATTGTTCAGCGAAGCTGTTCAAAAATTTCACTGAATTTTCTTTATGCTTCCGATTAAATTCAGTGGAATTTTCTAACAGATTCAACCGACAATTTCTTTGTAAGAAAATAAATAGAAACAAAATTGAACTGAATCCTTCGCAACATATTCTTTCGAACACTAGAGAGAAAAATCCAGTGCAATTTTAAAACCCAATTTCTGCAGTCAACTGGATATTCCGATCAATAGAAATGGAAATGGAACGTCATCATTACCATCTTTAGTCAATCTTTTACTATTCTCCTAGCATTACTCATAAGCGACGTGTCGTTAATAATTTGCAATTAAAGCATATTACACAACGACGGTGAAACTGTGAAAAAAAATTTAGGGGATACCACTATTCGACCACGTAAGAGCCCATATTGCCTACATTAAAAATTGAAGGCGAACTGACATTGCGTTAAGATCACTTCTTTCCGATTGGTAAAAAACAATGTTTTGTACGTATACCGAGTTGTGTACCATTTCACGGTGATACCACTATTTGACCACGTAGGAGCCCATATTGCCTACACTAAAAATTGAAGGCGGACTGACATGGCGTTAAGGTCACTTCTTCCCGATCGGTACAAAACAATTTTTCGTATGTATACCGAGTTTAGTGTACCATTTCACGGTGATACCACTATTCGACCACGTAGGAACCCATATTGCCTACACTAGAAATTGAAGGCGAACTGACAAGGCGTTTCAGTCACTTTGCCCGTTTGGTAAAAAGCTATTTTTGGTGTGCTGCGTTCCGAGTTATAAAGCGTGCCATTTCACGATGATACGAATCTTTGACCACGTAAGAGGTATTGTCGCTCGCACCTGTATTTTTCGAAGTTTTCCTTTTCAAAATATTCTTTTCCTAAATACACATTTCTTAATTTAGTGCACCAAATATTTATTTTAACGACTGTATAGCTGATTTGCATCGGTTTCTTTCTGCTAAACGCGGTCCAATTTTAGTTGAAATCATTAATATATTTTCACCTTCCGGCCAAGGTATCACAAGCGCCATGCGACATTTCAAAATTTCCGCCGTCATTTTATTTTTTTTTCTAGAGAAATTGTTCAACAAAACTGCCCGAAAATTTCGTGGAATTTTCTTTGAGCCGCCGATGAAATTTAGTGGAATTTTCGAACTGCTTCAACCGACAATTTCTGTGTAAAAAAAATAAAATGGCGGTGGGAATTTTGGGAACGTCACATGGCGCTTGTGAGATTTGGGCTGGAAGGTGACGATGTATACAATCCCTCAAAAACTGCCCTTACTTTTTGAACCCTTTGGCGGTATGAGCAGAAACTTGAAGAACAATTAAGCACAACTGAAGCACTAAATATTGGATCTATTTTCGGAATCTGTGCTCCATGTTGGTCAGCCAACTTCTCGGAGCTTGCAATTTTCTCATTTCTCTTCCCTGCCCTTCACTTAAGGTGATTCGTCAAGCTCAAGTGACGTGGTTGAACTGGGATGCGATATATCGCATCAATTAGGTCAAAAATCTCGGCAGATTTTGAATTTTAAGCAAAAAAATGACAAAAGCCCCTGCGTATGAGCCTAAAGAATCATTATAAGCTTAAGAATGGGCAAAATTCAGAGAAATGAAAGCAGAATGGTGTTTGAAAATAAACCTCGCATTCGATTCAGCTATAGATTTCTGTGAGAAAATGTTAAAGGAGTTTAAATCACTACACAAGTTGCTCAGTATGCGAAATTAAAATTTTTTTAAAAATTTACGAAAATTTAAAAACTTTTCATACAAACTTTAAAATCACTCACTTGCATAAACTTTTTCAAATTTTTTTTCGAAAAAAAAACTTGAATAAGTTTGAAAAAAATTGAAAAAAGTGAGTAATTTTAAGGTTTGTTTTAAAAATTTTTAAATTTTCGTGAACTTTTTAAAATTTTTAATTTTCACACGTGGATTTCTGTATCGAATGCGAGGTTTATTCCAAACAATATTCTGCTTTCATTTCTCTGAATTTTGCCGATTTTTGGGATTAGAATAATTCTTTGGCCTCATGCACAGGGGCTATCGTCATTTTTTCTGCGAAAAATTCAAAATCTGACGATATTTTGACCTAATCGATGCGATATTTTGCATGCCACTTCGACCACGTCACTTGAGCTTGACGAATCACCTTAGAGAGCTTAAAGAGAGACATGGCAACGTGGCTACAGTGGGGTAGGCTCAAGGTAGGCCCCACTTGTCCACGCGGAGGGGAAGGGGGGGGGCGAAGGTGAGGGCTCCTCNGGTTGCCCCGCCACTCCATTTCAGTTCATCAGTCTGAGATTCGCCGCCGTTCAGCAACTGTCACACTTCCTCAGTTCCTCCGCGAAGTTCCTCTCGTTCCCATCTCGCGGTCATCTCATTTCTCTTCCGTCTCATCATTTCATAGCGGTGTGATACTGATATCCTCGCGCATTTCGTCGATAATCCGATATGTTTGTGGTTCTTTGTGCGCTCGCTTCGGGAACCTCTTCGGACTACAAAATTACCTGAGCGATTTGGTCTCGCGATCTGTGATCGTGCCCTCGGATCTCGGATTTTCGCACGTTGATATGGTGAGTTTCAGTTTCAGTATTGTTCCTCATCTGAAAAAGTGCTAACTCGTATGTCCTGAGCTTTGAAACGGTTTCAATAGCCGTTTCTCGAGCTTACGGTTTGCCGAAATGAAGACTCACTTCCGTTCCGCACGTCACTTTCATGAGTGCGTTTTGTGATTTTACCTGTCACTATGCCTTCACCCCATTGGCTTAAGCCCAACCTTTAAACTAAAGTAAAATTTCCAAATTCAACCTTTAGAATTTGATCCCTCCTTCAGCCTGAAACAGCAGCTCATTGCACTTTAATACAATAATTTCTCTTGTAACGTCCGATAAACTTCAATTTGCCCACTTGGTCACTACTTACTATGTAGTCTCAATTTTGTTAGAAATGACAAACGAGACGCAGAGGTTGTCATAAACTGCATGGTTCCTCTTTAACTATAGTTATTTAATTTTAGTTAAGTTTATGTTAATGGAAGTATTGTTAGTCTACGTAAGTTTAGTTCGGGTCGACTAGTAGGGCCGCAGCCCATATTTCAGAAGCGCAACGTAGTTCGTAGTAACTTTTAAACAATCGAAGTAGTTTTCAGATAAATGGCAATATTACGATCAGAACCTGCAGAATTTTACGTCATCGACGCACTCAGAGGCACTAAAATTAAGGTAAAGCGTTACAGTAACGAGCTAACACCTGGATGCAACTATTCGAGCTCTACGGATGTCCCTATTGCATACGCACATGGTTGAAGGCGTTTTGACTTTCCAGGCACTCACCACTACACCCATGGCGCGGCTGGAGGATCTGGAATTATCGGTTACCTCCCGAAAGAAAGTAACCGCATTTCAATTTTGTCAAATTACCCTTCGCAAATTGCATTTTTACCATTAGAATCTCTGGTGTTCCAAGTGGAAAAAATTTCATCGAAGTTTCCTCTGATCAAATGTAAAAATTAGAAAATATTTGACAAAAATTGCGCATGTAAATTTTTGAAAAAGAGAGGATTGTTAGCGCCAATTTGGCAACGTAGGGATGGAGTTACGTTCCTTCACCCTTCGTTTTATAAAAAAGACATCGCATAAGCATGCATGATTGCTCACATGCGTATATGGTAAGTGTAGGTATCTTCCGTATGTCAGTATTGATTTCGCGACGTGCCGATCATGGTTTATGAAACAACTTCTCGTGCCTGAGAGATATCTTTGCACTATTAACGAAAGTTAATGACACTATCATTTTTGATCCTCGCAGAACTGTTCGTTGTCAGGGGTGAAGCGATGAACGCCTTGAAAGTCAAAACGCCTTCATATCCGTTCTTATGCAACACAGACATCCGCGGAGGCCGAATGGTTGCATCCGGCGCCGCGGCGTTCTGATGGAATTCGTTTGGTACTCGTCGGATGCGATACTGACTGTGAACGCTTTTGCTCCCTCTTACACCGCAACCAGGGGTCGAGAGGGTTCTCAAGAGCGAACGCCGATTTCCAGGATTTCATATGCATCGCCTCCTCGCTCGCGAGTTGAGAGGCCTTTTGTTTCGAATGCCCTCTCCGTTCGCAAACCCAAATCTTTTTGTCCGGCGCCCGCTCTTAGTTCTCGATACCTGAGGCATATCGCGGCGAAAGCGATACCCATCCCAGAACGCGATCGATTAGCCGTCTAATTCGATTGCCCTCAGAGAGGCGATGCCAATGACACTCGTATTCATATCCCATCTTGAGAGGCGAATGAAGAACGCCAGTTTATTCCCTCCTTATTCCCTCTCATCGCTCAGTGGTCGCCTGGTCGGGCGCGCCGCGGTCCGCTGGGCTGCGAATCCTGCATACGGTCCACGTTGACCCATGGTTGACCGTTGAGTCATCCTCCTTGGCCATCCCTCGGCTCCTGCGCTTCCTGCGGGCTGCACCAGGTCGTCTGAATGCACTACCAGCCGAGCACAGTTCGTTGACACGCTAGTGAGATGAGGGTGAAAACGACGAAACACCCGGACGGTTAATTTTTTCGTCTTGTGAATTTCTTGACATGTTTCGCTCGGTAACCGATCATTTCAGTTAATTTGTCCANCAGGACCAGTCAAAGAAATGTCCCGAAATGGCGCCTTTGCGGTGGCCAGACATTTTACCCAATTTTGTTTGACCCAAATTTTTCATTGTTCATTTATAATTTAGTCCAATAGTTTTTTGTGTGCAATGCTCTATATGAACCAATAGTTTACTTAGACCATTGACAAGCAATGGTATATATGCTGAGATTTTGCCAAATAATAGAATGTAACCCCAAGCCGGGTCACATTCACCCAAGGATCGCTGAAACACGTTTTCCGCGGGTTCTGGGGCTGGTACATCCGAACTGAGGTGTAGGTTTACAAATACATCCTGTAAAAAAGAATAACACGAACACGTCAAATTGAAAAAAAGTACAAAATCAAATATCAACACATCCGAAGATAGAAGAGACGTTTTTAGGTCTGATTTTTATGAAGTCTCTCCCGAATGAGAGCAACACTTCATTGGCAGCATACAGCACAGCATTGCGAGCTCACGTCTCGCGCCGCGCCGTGGCGCCTTCAATTTTACAGATGCAACACGGACATCCATCAAGCACGAATAGTTGTATCCCTGCGCCGTCATCAACGCGCGACCTTTTCCTTGCCCTGTTCCCACGTTGTGTTGGTTCCGCCAGTCTTATTTATAGCGGTGCTTAAAGGACGACGTGAGCAACACAGCCTAAGTATGACTTGGATCAAATTAGTTGACCAAACAAGGTATCGGGTGAAAAAAAATTGGGTCAAGTGTCTAGCTACCGCCTTTGCTGCGGTTATTTAGGGCCGGCGCCGAGATGCATCTATTCGTACTTAAGTGATATCTGCGTTGCATATTCAAATAATTGGAGGCGCGCTGGTTTTTCAAGCGTTCACAAAAACACTCTTGGGCGTCCCATGTTTCGCGGAGGATTCAAAATTGGTAAAACATCGTTGCCTACATAAAAATTGAAGGCGCACTCGCTTATTCCAATCTCGCGGCTAAAGGTTACTGCCGTGCTAAGGAAGAACGCCGCATGAACATTCGACGGTTGCAAAATTTCCATCGATAAAACATGTATTTTTGACCGTATTCATACATATTTTTCCTTGAAATTTCCAGATATTTTAGATCAAATTGCTTGAAAAATTGTCTAAATATTTTGGAAAATAATATTCACAGTTTTCCCAATAAATTCGGTTTTTATCGGAGGAAACTTGGCTTTGACTGAAGGCTCATACGGCGTTCTTCCTCAGCACGGCAGAATAGAGAAGGATAAGGATGACAGGAAGAGATCAATACGCCAGTTTTACTCTCTGTTTCACATCTCAACCTCTATTAATTTCAAGCCGTTCTGTTCCATGCCGAGGAAATTTCCCCGCTACAAACAGAGACAATCCCGAAATAAGCGTATAGTAGTTCATTCATTCATTGCTCATTGGGCACGGAGCTGCTTCATCCGTCGCCGTTAGCGCCGCCGCCGTTGTTAATAGACTCGGGAATCTTCCGCCGTGTCTGTGTCCGTTTCATTCAGAAATTCTGCCCGCCAAAACAGCGATTGTCGCGGAACGGTCGTCGCGGCCCGACGCGGTTCGATTCCCGCTAAAAGGACGGGGATCCTTGGCGAATCCTCAAAAGCGGTTTCCCCACCGCACCGCACCGTCTTGTCCCTGTCTCCTCTACCTGTTGGATCCATGGATGCCGAGTTGAACCTTCATCCCCATTCCTCCTCGCTGGAAGGGGTGAGATGGAAAAACACAGTATCAGTACAATGGAGAATTTGCTGGTGTCTGAAATTTGATGAATTTCGTGTTCAAGTGGAATCTACCGAGTGAACTGAACACGAGGATACCCATAGTTCATGAATTCAAAATTATCTAATCTGCTAAATTACGTTTGTTTAAATGGGAAATGCTGCCGGATGACTTTACTAGGCGGTGCCTTTCCTCACCTTTAAATCTATTTTTAAACTATTATCCCACATCAGAAAAAAATGATAAAACATACTGTGAATTCAGCTCTTCAAGCACTTTCAGATGAAGCAATGAAAAATTTGCAAGCAAATATTCTCTATTTAAGCTAATATAGTCACCTTCCGGTCAAAATATCACAAGCGCCATGCGACGTTTAAAAATTTCTGCCACCGTTTTATTTTTACACAGAGAAATTGTTCAGCGAAGCTGTCCAAAAATTTCACTGAATTTTCTTTGTGCTGCCGATTAAATTCAGTGAAATTTTCAAACAGATTCAACCGACAATTTCTTTGTAAGAAAATAAATAGAAGCAAAAATGAACTGAATCCTTCGCAACATATTCTTTCGAACACTAGAGAGAAAAATCCCGTACACTTTTAAAATTCAATTTTTCCAGCCAACTAGATATGCCGATCAATGGAAATGGAAATAGAACGTTCCAATGGAATGATGTCTCCCGACTATTGTACCATCATTACCATCTTTAGTCAATCTTTAACTATTCTCTCAGCATCATGCATAAGCGGCTTGTCGTTAATAATTTGCAGTTAAAGCATAAATTACACAACGACGGTGGAACTGTGAAAAACATTTTAGGGGATACCACTATTCGACCACGTAGGAGCCCATATTGCCAACACTAAAAATTGAAGGCGAACTGAAGTGGCGTTAAGGTCACATCTTCCCGATCGGTAAAAAACAATTTTTCGTATGTATACCGAGTTTAGTGTACCATTTCACGGTGATACCACTATTCGGCCACGTAGGAGCCCATGTTGCCTGCACTAAAAATTGAAGGCGAACTGACAAGGCGTTTTAGTCATTTTGCCCGTTTGGTAAAAAGCTGTTTTTGGTGTGCTGTGTTCCGAGTTAGTATAAGCGTGCTATTTCATGATGATACGACTCTTATACCACGTAAGAGGTAGTGCCGCTCGCACCTGTATTTTTCGAAGTTTTCATCTTCAAAATAATTATTTCTTAATTTAGTGCGACAAATATTTATTTTTACGACTATGTAGCTGA